GAAACGTGGGAATAAACATCTACTTGCATGCAATGAATTACTTGACGGGTGTCTAATTCACAAATCTTAACAAATATTGAAAATTGGATGTAATTATAACTTTTAACACAATGACGAAGGGGCGCTAACTCGTAGAAATGAGCCCTAAAAAGGTCTATAATTAGTGTTATTTGCACAATTAAAAAAGGATTGTGAAATTGTAATGAGATAAATTTCGATATTCTCCTTGATGAGAATGGTGTTCCGACTGCATCGATCAGTGTTTGCTACCTGTAAAATGAGGTCGAGGCTTCCTCCCTTGTTGTACCTCCGGCGTGAGAATTAATATTTGGTTTAAGAGAATAGGAAGAGAATATATTGGAATTCAAATAGTTCGGGTTTCAAGAAGAATATTTTTTTCTCACCCTGAGGATATTATAGGCACCCGATGACACGCCCCCATTCTACAATTAATTGTACCACGTGTCACACGTAAGCCTTTCCACTTTCCCCAAATTTTAGAGTGGTGACCCCCACTCATCAAGCAGTTGGTTATGCACACGTTCACTGTTGGGTGATTTCCATCCAACTCATTGCTAATTGTATGGTTAAGTATAGTATTAGCTGCATGGTGGTAGGCGGCCCTGTGTAAAGGTAGAGGGTCTCATGGGGGCGACAGCTTCATAGTGGTAGAAGGCCAATATGAACGTAGATGGCCTCATGGGGGCCGACGGCCTACGATGTACAGGAGGGTACATATTAAGTAGCCGGTCATCGTAGATAATTATTAACACCATCTTATATCAGATTGAAAATCTAAAACCCAAATTCACCTATCATAAAAGCCACGTTGGATCAAAACAAATTATGGTTCACAACTCTCGAAAATTCAAATATTTTCCAATCGAAAAACACTTTTTGGCCACAATAGCGTCTATTATGTTTTCTTTCTCCTTTCTACAAACAATTTTCCTAAACATATACAAAATTCCCCAAAAAGAAATGAAATTCTGCTTAAATTCAGGTATAAAACTTGATTGTTGGCTTTAAACTATGATTTTGTTATAAGCTATGGAGAAAAGAGAAGAAAATAAAGAAGTAGCGGTGGCAAAAACGCTCGGACGGCTTGAAAAAAGCCCGAGCCGGGCCCGGCTAGTGCCAAGCCCCACTTTGGGGAGTCGGCTCAAGCTCGAGCCGGCCCGCAGCCCGGGCGAGCCAATATTTTAAAAAAAAATTTTTTTTTTTTTAAGGCGGCACAACTGCCTTGCTGCCTGCAGGCAGCTG